AACGTTTCTACGAAATGCTTTCCTCGAGCCAGGACGTGAATTTCGTGCCAAAAATGCATCCTGGCGCTCACGCGGAAGCTATAATGTCCGTTTATTGAGCGGCTCATGCTATAGGAAATCTTGATCTGTCTGGGCAATCACAACACGCACACAGAAAAACCCTGGAGCCAGCCACTTAACTCTGCCTTTTAACTGCCAATAACATTCTTTAACTCAAGTCAAAAGAGCAAGGCGGGAATGGCGGTGTCTTTTTGGTGCCTCTTCTCTGCGCCGCGCCAGGACTTAAGGACAACAAGGCTTACCGATGAGGAAGTCAGCCCCGAGAAATCCTCTCCCAGCTCCCTTGTAAGATCACCGCTTGCCTCCAACAACGAGAAAGACGTGCCGACAGAGGACACGTTTTCTCTCTTTCTATAGGACCATGCAACATAACCAGGTGTGTGCCCAAATATGAATAATGGGTTCACGCAGGCCGAAAGGAGGAACTATTCTCGCACAAAGGAAAATTGGGAAAGAAACAGGTTGTGGGGGGAGGGACGAGAGGCTCAAAGAAATTCAGCAGGTTGAAATTGTTTTCTTAAATTGATGGAGGCCTAAGGGTGCCGCTATGATGCATAACTTATCCGGGCTCTAGCACGGTCCACAGCTCAAGCATTGATATTCAGACACAAGGGCCTGCCAGCTGTTACCATTGCATGCATGAAGCCGTCAGTGTGTAGCTTTGTGATTCATGCAAAAAACAAAAACAAAACAAAACAAAAAGGAAGTTTTTTTTTTTTTTTTAATTCCTAGAAAAATCCAAAATGGGCCAATAGCCACCGTGTGAAATTTTGTGGTACCACAAGTGAACCTTTCAGCAGCTGCCCTTTTAGTGCTGTCTGGGGCCACAAAGATGTGATCCAGACAGCATCACACTTATCCTGCCCCTATAAAACTGTGTTGCTTGAGGTGTCACACTACAGGCTGCAGGACGAAGATCATAAATAACGCGAGGCATGAGAAACTGAACTCTGGCTTGACTGCCTTGTGGCGTCCTCTGTGGGTCTGTGCAGGGCACCAGTTTTTCTGCATCAGCTGATTTTAAAACCCTTAACTTTCCCAGAACTCCCAGGCAGCGAACGCACTGTGCCTAATGAGCTAGCCATGCCACTAAAAGCTCCCTCCATGATCCCAAACCCCCACCATCCAAACTTTTCCAATGTTGAAAATCAACGTTGAAAACCTAGAATCACTGAGATCGGGCTGGGTTGCAAAGCAAGGAACTGGGAGGTTTTAGAGACTCCATTTCAATTATAGCTGCAAGGAGGGCAAAGTAAGATCTAACCATCCAAAAGAAAAATCCCAGCACCAGTAACAAAAAAAAAAAAAAAAAAAAAAAAGCAGCAACATTTGAAACAGATTCCCCTCCCATTATACAATCAAAGATGAGCACATTTCTGCTGCATGTCAAATCAGCCATCGCCTTCTAAAACTAGAAACTCTTCCCATGAAAGTTTGAGTAAACCAGTTATTTCTGGAGCTGAAATATTCTGCAGTTATTTCTGTCCAGCCCTTTTCAATAAAGGTTGTGGTCCTGATTTTAAGCTGGTGGGCCAGAGATTCTGCTGGTGTAAATCAGAACAACTCCAGCAAAAGGCAGGCGTTATGTCGGTTTGTTACAGTAGTACAGAATCTGGCCCTTTATTTCAGTAGTTTGTGGATGTATTCACCAATCCAACTGAGGGCAGAACTGCCCCCACTCCTTCCTGGTAAGTTAGCATCCCTAAAAATATTCCTGCTAGAATTCTAAACATCACTTGTCAACTTACATCTGTGATTTATACTTCCCCTTTTCTTTATTTCCAGAAAGCAGAGAAATAACTACACAGAGATAACAAAGTACTAAGCTTTTTAAAATCATAGAAAACTAGAACTGGAAAGGATCTTGAGAGGTCATCGGGTCCAGTCCTCTTCCCTCATGGCAGGACCAAGCACCGTCTAGACAGTGGTTCCCAAACTTTTTGGCATCACGCCCCCTTTTTGATTTTTGAAAAACCCTCACACACACACTCCAAATAGCAGCAAAACTTGTTGAGCAAAAAAAAAAAAAAAAAAAAAAAAAAGGAAAAAAGGAACTGAACACCCCCCCCTAGGATTTCTTCACACCCCGTAGTTTGGGAACCAATGGTCTAGACCATCCCCTCTAAAAGAACCCCTTTACTTTAGTGCATTGTTAGCCCTGTAGCAAACTCACTACAAACATCAGTTTAATTTGCACAGTGTTAAGTGCAAAAAAAAAAGTGGTTTTGCTTTAGGATAAAAATTCTCTTCATGCTTGGATTGTCCATTAGGTTATGTATGTTATAATCCAAAAAGGAAAGCTGTTTATCCTCACATTATGAGTTAAACCTATAGTAACCAGAAAAATGTCACATTAGGTATTTGGTCGGTGTATGCTGAAGGCTTTTGAGTCACTAAGAAATACCCCTCACCCCACCCTACGCTTTTCAAAAAGGCAGAGCATAGATACTGAAGTTAAACACACAGTGAAAGACTAATCTAAGATGAATGTTTGTAATCAATTAACGAAGCAATGCTTTAAGTGGGTAATATAATATCAACTACTCCACAAATAAACACTCCTCATTTCAGTACAGCAATTGTTCCAAGCCCACAAGACTGAACGAGGATTATAAAGAAAGGGGAATTTGAGGTTGTACTTATTCTAGAGGATTTTTTTTTTTTTTCGTTTTAGTTTCCTTAAGACAAACAACAACTATACAGATGCCCCGGGACTCAACATTTTGTCATTAAAAGTTTTGAGATATTTTTAGTTTTTTAAATATTTGAATGATCCAAGAAATGTTTACCCCACTTTGAGATAGTCCTAGGAAAAACTGACACTTGTATCCACCTTTTCTTACCACACAAGTACACCTTGACTGACAGCTCAGTCTGACTTTAAAAGAGGTACTAACAAGGGAAATGCAGGATTTATTCTGTTTCAGCAAAAACAAGTTGTCTAGTGGCACTGTTAAGACTAACACATTTATTAGAGTATCCGGGCATAAACTTCGTGAGCGGGAAACACATTTTCATAAGAAAATAAAACTGAAAGAGCAAAGTGTAATAGAAGAAATCTTCTTACTGTAGCCGTGCAGTTTTTAAGAATTCTTCCTCAACAGAGAGAAAAGGGTCACATCTCATAGAATGCTGCACTCATTTCTATTACTCAGTTAATGATATTAAACTGTTCACCATTCCATAATGCTCAGAATCATTTTAAAATATTTCGCTGGCGTCACCAAAACTCCTTGCAAACAACTACATCCCTCAACATTCACAACTAATGCAGCACTATGTATTCATATTATTCCCATTTATTGATATACACTGCAATTGTCTCCACTACTAGTAATATCAGAGTATTCTAACTTCTGGACTGGGTTTAATAATGTGTATAATTGCCATTAACATGTTCTTCTGGCTAGTTAGGTCCAACCATACGTTTTCAGCCAAAAAAGAGACTTGCTATTGTCAACACCATAGGAATAGATGGAACTTAGAAACAAACTCATAAATCATCGTAGCATTAATACAATCACAGAAATAATGGGGCTGCTCATTGTACTTGAAGGTCAACAACTTTACCGGCCAGATGTGAAATTTCAGAGCTGCAACTGTGAGGCTACGGTTACCTCGCTCTACGTTGAAAGCTCTGGTTTTCCAGGGATGGTGTTTCAGTGAGAATTAGGATATTAAACCTTCCCCGCGACGGAAAGCAATGGGAAGACAGATGAAGTAATTAAAAAGGAAAAAAAAAATCTCTCGTTTTGGTTTAAAACGGAACACAATAGCCGGCCAGACAGACTGACAGAAAGACAGACGGGCTCCCCGTGTTATTACTTTCAGATGTTTGACTAACACAGAGTGACGTTTTCTCAATCTGCGTATGTTGGCTGGCTTCAAACTCACAGGCTCGATTCATTCACTGACTTCAGGGGACTTGCGCCAGGGGTGAGCTGGGCCCGGCCGCTTGCAATTGGCCCAGATAGGGACATTTTAATAGACAACACATGCACAGTAGCTGCTCTTCCAAATGTTTCCTCGCGCAGAGTTCAACTCCATTGAAACCCTTGAAACTAAACAACTCCCTTGAATCAATACGGTTCTGCCCTTTGACACGGCGGGCCGACCGTAACGTATCAAGGAATTCAGACAATAGGGGGGCTTTTTCCCTCCCGCTCGTCTCTGTGACAGTATTTTCCACCCACTGAAAATAAGCGATTCCTTTGGTAGAATCAAGCATGGCATGCAATGCTAATGTTCTTTTTTCAGCTCCCTACGGGAAACACAGTAAAAGGAAATGGGGGTGGGGGGGATTGCAAGTGTATCAAGGAATAATATTAAGGGTTAAAACCAGAAATTTGAGGTCATTCAGAAACCAACTCTTCGACTTCATCCTAGATTCATCCGTCTTTCCTTAAACAACGTCACGCGTCCAACTAAGCCTGATGCGTACAAGTGCCGTAGAGTGCATCAAGAACAGTAGAATCCTAGAACAGTAGAACTGGACGGGACCTCGAGAGGTCATCAAGGCCAGTCCCCCGCCTTCACGGCAGGACCCAGCGCCGTCTAGATCATCCCTGATTGATTCTGTCCAACCTGCTCTTCCATATCTCCAGTGTGGGAGATTCCACAACCTCCCTGGGCAATTTATTCCAGAGTTTCACCACCCTGACAGGCAGGAAGTTTTTCCTCATGTCCAACCTCAACCTCCCTTGCTGCAATTTAAGAGCAGAAGGCCTAATTTTCCCAATTAGCGGAGCGTTCACAACTCCAGCAGAACTCACTGAGAACAGCCGGCGATCGGCTCCTGTGAAACACAAACCCACGGCTTCCTACCCTGCCCGACTCAGTGCTGCCAGGGACCCACAAAGGTGTGAGGCAGCTCTGTTCCCATCAAGGCCTGCCACTTCACCTGGGCAGTCGATAAAAACCCGGAGGTGCGGCTGGCTGACCTTCGAATCCCTGAAATACCCCACAGTCTGGAGACATAAGAAGGCATCAGACTGGCAACATAGACAGGTTTCGTTTGGATCAAGGTTTTGCCGAGAAAGCCAGCAGGCCTGCAAGGTCGTGATAAATATTCAGTCCTGGAACTTCTGGCAGCCTCCCTTTTAAAAAGAAAAGTTGCTTTTAAGTGTTACGAAGAAGCACAATAGACTGATTAATAGTCAGTGCTTACACAGAGAGCTCCCAGCACCTGCTAAGAACTTCCCAAGCACACGGGCCCACACAGGACTGTTGTTACACCCTGTAACGCAGCTGCAGACAGCAGACCCCGCACCACTGAGCTGACACACGCTGGCTACTTTAAACCATACGATGCCACAGATAAGTGGCTCACGATTGATTATGCACATGGGGCGTTCGGTCGTGCCGGGCTCTGAAAAGCAGCATCCGCAGACACCCAGAGAGGTGACAGATTTCCAAAGGATGGAGCGATTGGGAGCGGCGGAACACACTTCTCTAAAGGCCGGGCTCTGTCAGTCCCCACCCCACCGGTAGATTGATCAATGGCTTTTTAGGTCCTACTGCTAATTAGGCAAAGGGTTCCCACAGACACATTGTTTTAAACAAACATCCTATTTATTCCTTGAAAGTTTTTTATCCCCTTTTCGGGGGGGGGGGGGTGGAAGGGAAAAAAACGTGCAACCCCGGTCACCTTCTTTACAGCGTAAACCCATCAAAAAGTGTGGGTAGAAATGTTTTTTAAAAGACAGTAGCTTGTTTTAGAGGGGCAACCTACGCCGAGCTGAATGGGAGAAGAGGATTAGGAAGTGCAGGGGCTGACCTGGATTATATGAAAGAGGAGGAACCTGGATTGAGTGGAGAGAGCAGAAGCAAACCCAGATTATGTTAGAGTAATGCAGACGTGAACACAGATTATACTGGAGTACCTGGACTGAAACCAGGAGTGAACCAGATTACATTCAAAAGAGTAAACTGCACTGCGTGTCTGGTCCAGGGGCTAATCCAGATTAGGACAGAGTCACCTGGACTGAGTGGAGTGGGAGCAGGAGTGAACACAGATTACAGAGACCTGGATCCAGTACATGGAAAGGGGGCTAATCTGGTGTATATTACAGCAGAGTCACTTGGACACAGCAGGGAGGGATCAGAGAGAGCAGGAGCGAATCCGAATTACACTGTCCCGGTCTGAGTGCGGGGAAAGGGGCTCTCCCCGATTACATCCCAGAGAAATCGCCTTGCTGAAGTGGGCGAGGAGCGGCGCAAACCCAGATTACCCTGCAGAGCCCGGGTTGAGTGGGGGGAGCAAAAGTGAATCCGAATGACACTAGAGTGACCTGGGTTGAGTGGGGCAGCAGGAACCAACCCAGATGAGCCCGGAGAGCGGGGGACTAAACCGGATTATAGCCCAGACAGAGAGCCACCGGGCCGGTGTGAACGGGGTGGGGCCATGGGAGTGGTGCGAATCCGGATTACCGAGCAGGAGCAGGCTGCCCCAGAATCCCCCTCCCCACCGCTCGCTCACCTGTACCAGCGCAGCCCCTTCTCGTAGCCGCGGTCGAAGAAGTGGGGCTCCAGGCC